ACTCACCGAGCCCTTGTGGTTTAGATAGGAAAGAACACAGACGCTCACACAGCAAACAAGCTTCTCAGACGATCAGCAAGCTCTGGGAAGCTTTCCCAGGTGGACCTGGGAAAGGGGCAGAGTTGTCCTTTAGGACCCTCTGTGGTCTCTGGAAGTCAAATGGAGTTTCGAAGGTCATGCGGGTGGGAGCCTGGCAGCCCACACTCCTCTCCCACTGTCGGGCCCGGGGCTGACCAGGAAGCTGCTTCCTGAGACGCTAGTGAGCAGCTTCTGAAGTCCGTGAAAATGGCCTGCTGCCCACCATCCGCCTGGATGAAAGGGAGGAGGGGCAGGGATGGGGCAGAGCACAGCATTGGGTTCTTTTAGACCAGGGTTGAGCCTGATGCTTTCCTTCCCAGGGGTTCGAGTGAGCGATTCTCCCTCGGGCATACAGAAGTGGGTGACGGGAGGAAGTTTCCAGAGAGCAGGGCCTGAACTTACTGGGAACGCTCCACACGGTGGACATGAGTGCTTGCCCTGCACAGAGCCAAAGCAGGGTGTGCTGCTGGCCGGTGCCACACCTCTTGGGTCTGTGCCCACTCACCTGCCTCTGTGTTCCTCCAAGTGTATCTGAGGGTGCGTTCCACCGAGGAGGCTTGGACACACACCTGCCAGCAGTGTCCTATAGGCTGCCTGGCCCCCGCAGGGCCGGTGAGGAGAGCATGGGAAACACTCTTACTGGTAGCAGTCGTGCTGCCTGTGAGCACAGCCTTATGACCTAGAGATCCAAGTGATTTTGCTTTTGCATAAGTAGATAAGTTTTCTAAACTTTGTTTTTTTGGCAATCAGGTGGCTTGAACTCAGAGCCCAGGCACTGTCCCTGAGTTCTTAGGTTAGTCCTCTACCACTTTGAGTCTCAGCACCACTTCCGGCTTTGTTTGTTTGTTTTTGATCGGTTGTAGAGCCTGAACTCTGGGCCTGGGTGCTGTCCGTGACCTCTTCAGCTCAAGGCAAGCGCTCTACCACTTCAGCCACAGCGCCACTTCCAGTTTTCTGGTGGTTTATTGGGACTTTTCTGCCTAGGCTGGCTTCAAACCATGATCCTCTGATCTCAGCCTCCTGAGTAGCTAGGATTATAGGTGTGAGCCACTGGCCCCTGGCTTTTCTAAACTTTAAAAGAGGGAGCAGAGTGTTTTATCTTATTTTTTCCCTACCTTTTCAGTGTGTCTGCATATGGGTATGCTTTTTATTCTTTTTGTTCTTTTTTTTTAATCATCTAATTGTGTGTAATGAAAATGCATGAGGACTTTTTTTACTTTCCTGTTTCACAGGTAAACTAAAAATACTACTAAGGCTAAGCTGGGGCCTCAAAGAGTGAACAACACCAGTTCTAAACTGTTTCAAGTGCGCATAAGGAAATAAAATACAACTTAGACAGTAACATGAGACCTGGGGTGACCATAATATGTACCCACGGCCAGGATTGGTGGGTGGGAATTAGTCCCCAGATCCATGATTGGTTGGGGAATTGGGCCCCACAGCTGTGATTGGTGAGTGGGATTGAGTCCCTAGAGCGGTGATGTGTAGCTTTTATTTTCTTCAACTCATATTTCAGTGTCATGGGTCTGTAAGCTCCAAGAGGGCCATGTTCTGTATATAACTTACCTTCAGATGATAACCCAACATTCTTCTCCATGTGGTTCACATAGCTCACGACTGCTATTTTAAAACAGTACGTGCTTAGAGAGACTTACTGGATAGCCTTTCTTATTAAAAGAACTAGAACTGTCCATACAAAGGTTCTATAGTTGAAAACCTTTCCACAAAGAACCCTCCTGCCTGATTTGTTTGGCTGTGTTACAGTTTTTTTGTTTTTTTTTGTTTTTTTGGTGTTTTGGTTTTTTGGGGGGGGTGGGTCATGGGGTTTGAACTCTGGGCCTGGGCGCTGTCCCTCAGCTCTTCAGCTCAAGGCTAGTGTTCTACCACTCGAGCCACAGCGCCACTTCCGGCTTTTTTTTCTGCTTATGTGGTGCTGAGGAATCGAACACAGGGCCTCATGCATGCAAGGCAAGCACTCTACCACTGAACCACCTTCCCAGCCCTGTGTTACAGTTTAATAGGGCTTATCCCTCGGGCCCTAGCTAGTGAGGCTAACTTGGGAGGTGATGGGGCTGGGGCCTGGCTGGAGGAAGTAAGGCCTAGGTTTGTGCCCTGGAAAGATACACCTTGTCCCTGACCCTTTCTGTCACTCTGTGCCTACCGTCCACATCAGCCCTGCCCCTCAGCCCTGCAGGAGAGCCAAGTGACTACGGATGGAAAGCTCCGAAAGCCTGGGCCAGAGTCAAGCTTTCTTCCTTTTATGTTGTGACGTCAGATGCTTTGTCTGACCACCACAACTGGTGATTCCATTGAACCTTAGCAGTCTGTCAGCTCTACACAGAAAACAGAAGCAGACACTTCTCAGTGTGTGTAAAGGCCAAAACCGGAATGAGAGACATTACAGCAATTAAAACCTACATGCTGACCTTAGTGGTTCACACCTGTAATCTCAAGTACATGCCAGGCACAGAGAAGAGGGATCAAAGTTTGAGGCCATCCTGGGCAAAACATTGGCATGATCCTATCTCAATAAGGGGTATGGTGGCCTACGCCTGTAATCCCAGCTGTGTGGGAGGGGCAGGTCCAAGGCCCGCACGAGGCAGAATCCTCAGGTGTGTGCTCTGACCAGTCCCCATGGCCAGCAGTTACGTGGCCCCCTGCACTGGCCAGCTTCCTTCCCTCAGCTGTAAGTGTTCTCGTGTGAGTGTAAATCGCCTGAGCTGCTCCAGCTGACCGCCCCTCTGTGGTCCTCGGCTCCCAGCAGCCGGGTGGCTCCGGTGCTTCCTCCGAGATGCTGGAGAGGCGCCTCGGCCGGGTGGACCGAGGGTGGAGTGGCGCGGTGGGGCGTGACGCAGGGCGTGGCCCAGCACACGCATCCTCGCGGTCTGCCTCAGTGCCGGGTGCTGAGCGCACCTGCTGGCAGCCTTCCGTGGGCTCCTCGCCCGTGCCTTTGCCCAAACCTTTTTCCTCTTTGATAGTCCTCTTCCTGTTAGGCTCGTGTCCCAGACGCCTGGATCCACGCGATTCTCAAGAAGACCCAACCCGTTCCACGCCCCATTTGTGTTCGCCGCCCCGCCGCTCCCACAGCCCCCTGGGGTTCCTCACTCCCTTGTTCTGCAGCCCCTCGCATCTCTGTAACCGGAAGGGAGCAGAGCTTCATTGTTGTTCAGCCTCCTTGCCTCTGGGAGGCCTGGGGACTGTAATTGGTTTCTGTCTGAGAGAAGGCCGGAGGTGTGGAAACCCGGCGTGTCATGATCCTGAGCACGGGACACCACGGTGCCGCCGCAGCTCTCCAGGGGCTCCGCACAGAGCGCGCTGCGCGGGCCTGGCCGCTTGTTTACCAAAAAAGCGTGTATTCAACCGAGAGAGGCGGCAGGGAGGAGGAGAAGATGGGTGGCTAGAGGAAATGGTTACTGGCCATTTCACGTGGCCGTGCCTCGAGCCCCCTCCTCCTGCTCCATCCACCCCGCGCCTTCCGCCCCCCCCCCGCCCCGTCCTTTCTCCTTCCTGGCCAGCCTGGCGGTCGCAGCCGGCTGACTGTCCCCAGGACGGGTGCACTCGGGATGAGGTGCTGCTTTGGGGTTCCATGGCCAGGCTGTCTGGAGTGCAGCAGGGTCTGAAGGAGAGGCTTGCTTCAGAGCTGGGCACGGGACCGCGTGGCTCCCGGGGCAGCATCCTGGGCCTGTGGGCTCTAGCTGCGGAGCAGGTGCCAGACTGTCTGACGCCTGCCAGCCTCCTGTGCCCGCGCTCCCGCGCCTTCCCACCGGGGCTGGCTGTCACGGTCGTCCTTGGAGCCCATGCTTCCCCAGGTCCACCCCCACCTCGGGAGCAGCTGCTCCACCCCAGGCCGCGCCCCGTGCTGCTGGTAGAGGACCCTGAGTTCCAGCCTTGCACCCCTCCCGCTTCCTTCCTGCTCTGGTCCACTCCCTGAGAGACCAGGATTTGTGAAAGCACAGGATCCCTTCTTGCTCAGGCCTTGGCCCTGGAACTATTGCTTTACGTCAGTGGCCATTTGTCATTTCCTTTCTAATGAGCTTTGGACTGTCAGAAAGTGCAGCCGTTGTCATGAATCCGAGTCCGTTCCATTTGCCATCGTGGGGCTGTTCTAAGCCAGCGCATACCCGGAGGAGGCGTTCGACACCTCTTCCCATTGTGTTGGGCTCGGGCGTTCTCTCTGAGCTGTTGTTGATTTTTTTGTCGCATGTGCCTGCAATTTATAAGAAGGAAAAGAAAGACACGCCGCACTAAGATGGCAGGGAACGAGGGTGGCCATCTGCAGGCGCTGTGCGGCGCTGCCAGGAACGAAGGCGCAGGGCGCCCGGGCGCAGGGACCTGTGCGCGTGCCAGCTTCTCCTTCCCCAGCCACACTCACACAGAGGCCTGGGGCTGCCCGCCCCATCCGGCACTCTCCATCCCGAGTGCCTGCTCTGCCAGAGGATGACAAGCACAGGCAGCCTCCGGCCTTTGCATTTGTGATCCATGCTCACCCCTAGGCCAGTCACGGAAGTGGCTCTGTCTGCACTAACAAGGATGAGGAAGTAGCGTTTTATCTTATTTAATTTCTTCTATATTTCAGGAGTCAGCCAAATTTACCCACTAGAAATGTCCTGGGGTTCGAGGCATGGCTCAGTTGGTAGAGCACTAACCAAAGTGCAAAAAGCATCAGGTACTGAGTGCAAGTTCCAGTCTTAGACCTAAAAAGAAAAGGAAGTGTTCTGTTTTACAAACCCAAGCCAGTGCTGTGGCCTCTGCCGGCGGGGCCGGCACATTGTCAGCCCACAGCTCCCAGGAGCCCAGAGTCAGCCGTGAGCCCTGCCGTGCCTGACAGCAGACGCCCCGCGTGGGCTGCACCCCACGCCCGCCCCGGCCCCTGCCGGGGAGCCTGTGCGCTGAGCGTCACCAGCTGTTTTCTGTCATTGAAGATCCCCGAAGAGCACGACCTGGAGAGTCAGATCCGCAAGGAGCGGGAGTGGCGGTTCCTGAGGAACACGCGCGTACGCAAGCAGGCCCAGCAGGTCATCCAGAAGGGTGAGGGGCCATCCTGGGGCCCTCCGTGGAGGGGGGGCACCTGGGACCCCGCTGCTTGCCCAGAGCACGCTCAACCTTGCCCAGCCCTGGCTGCTCCTCCCAGAGGAGTCTCTAGGCCAGCGGAGGAGAAGTTGGTCTGTAAGGTCATGCGTGGAGAGGGGAGGGGGCAGCCTGGGGATGGAGAGGACCAGCTGAACCCCACTTCTCCACGCGGCCCAGACCAGTCCTCAGGATTGCCGGCACAGGGGAGCCCGTGCCCCGGCACCTCCCTCCCATCTGTAGCCTCGAAAGGCTCGGCTTGCCGCTGTGAGGTTCGCAGGCAGGGAGCGGGAGCCCGAGCTTGACCCGGCGGGTGCCCCTCCCCTGGACGCCGAATGCGAGCCCCACGGCTCCACTTACTTGGCGGCTCTGTCCTTGTCATGTGACTTCCTGGCCAGCCACTGGAGCGGGGCATGGGCATGGGCGGCTGCGCAGGGCGGGCGGCTCCACACGGAAAGCCTCCCCCTCTGCTCGGCTCACACTCAGCTCCTCACTGCTTGGCATGTCACATGAATGCTGAGCCAATGCCTCCTGTGCCTCCAGACCTCGTAAGCAGAAGGTCTAAGAGCAAGCAAAGGCAGACACCCTGCAGGTGGAGGTGCGCCCACAGACACACTGGGCTGACCCCCCCTCTTCCTTGGTGCTGATTTCAGCCCCTTCGTGTTCCCTGCCTTCCACTTCCTTTGCGCCTCTCCTGGCCCCCGGCAGGCGCTGACTGGCTCTTCCTGATGTACACTCTGATCCTACAGGCACCAGGCGGCCACAGCGCATGCTGTTTCTCTTGCAGGCATCACCAGACTGGACGACCAGATCTTTCTGAACAGGAACCCCGGCGTCCCCTCCGTGGTCAAGTTTCACCCCTTCACGCCGTGCATAGCCGTGGCCGACAAGGACAGCATCTGGTAGGCATGGCTGCGGGACCTTCCTTCCGGGTGGGGTCTCAGGGGCCAGAACCCACATGCCTCTTCTCCCCCACCCAGTCCCCCCAGGACGTGGCCCCTGCTCTCACCCTCCTGGGGACTGGCCGTGTGCTCACGCAGCTTCACTGACACCAAGCCTCGCCCAGCCTCCTTCCCAGCTCATAAAGCTCGTGCTCCTCACGTCTGTCTTTCTCTCTTTTAAAATTGATGTGTGTGTGTGTGTGTGCATGAACTTGGCATCACAACCATTTTACCTGCACAGCAGGTGGCATTAAATAGGTTCTCAGGGCTGCACATCCAGCCTGGTCCCCATCTCCAAACTTTCTCATCTCCCTGAAGCCCAGGAGACACTGATGCCCGCTCCGCCGCGCCAGTCCCTGGCCTGGCGAGAGACACGGCAGCCCGGCCCGGCCCCCAGCCTGTTGTAGATTCGCATGTCTTACGGCTCCTCCGTGCTCTAGCACGTGTCAGAAGGTTGTGCAGTTGCATGTGTTGACCCTTTAATGTGTCCACGCATCTGCTCACCTCATGGATGTCTGCACAGGGCCACTTTCTGTGCAGCCGGGCAGTGTGTGCCCTGGGGACGGCCGATGTGCAGCCGGGCAGTGTGTGCCCTGGGGACGGCCGATGTGCAGCCGGGCAGTGTGTG